AATATTCATTGAATTATCTATGACTTCATGACCAGTTTGCATTGCTTTCAAGACAGTTCTGAATAATCAAGATTAAATGACAGATTTAGAAGCTAATAAGTTTGTTGTTCTTTTCTCTACTTCCATATACGAAATTACTCCAATGTTATTAATTATTGAGGATTTAATAAGGATTTAATCTTAAAGGAAGAAATTTATCAATACTTTTCAACTAATGACTATTAGCCAACATACAGATCATCTGTAAAACATGAAATTCATTCAGATTATTGAGGCATATGCAAAATATATTTGCATACTCACTTTACATTGTGAAATGACAAGATTTCTTATTTTATGCACAATTGTGGATTTACTTTTTTATTCTGGATTGCATTATATAGTTCTGTTCTAAAACATTTTGTGCACTGTTATATTTATACTAGTATTGTATGTTATTGGTTTTATTTCAGTATCTTATTAAAGTATCATAACTGATTTTTAATGAGGCCATTGATGCATTTCATAAGATTCTCAAGTGCAGAGGGAAAATGATGATTGCATTCCTTTTGGCATAGGAACCATATGTAGAATTCTGGGTGCTCTCTAAACTTAGTTGTTTGCTGGCATATGTTTTTTTTCTGCTTGATTGTGTGTCCATTTAATCCCCACTTATCTGGGTGTTGGTTGATGTTCTGATCTTTTTATTTTTAGTTTTTTTAGTGTCTCTTTTGAATGTAAATGTGGTTTATTTTTATGTTCTATTGATGGCAGATTTATTTGAGTATTAAAGTTTCTAGGAATTCCCTAGCATTACTGGATTTAGCTTGGTCTGGGATGCTCATACTCTATTTCCCCCCAAATAAGACATCTCCTCATAATAAGCCCAATCGGGCTTTTGAGCACATGGCAATAAGGCCAAGCGCTTATTTCAGGGTTCAAAAAAATATAAGACAGGGTCTTATTTTCAGGGAAACACAGTTGTTTACCAGCTGAAAGCATGGTTAAGCCTGTCTATGTGTGTGAGATTAAGGAGTTTTACTGTGTTTTCTTACTGCTAGGTGTTCATGGATGTGCTTTGCAAGTCTTCTGCCTGTCTGTCCTACATAGCGATTGTTATAATCCTTGCACTGTATGTTGTAGATAGATCCTACTTTTTCTTCTTGGACTACGGGGTCTTTTGGTTTAGAATGATTTGGAGAACTTTAGTAGGTCTATGTCTTATGGTGATGCCATGTAGTTATAATAATCTGTTTGGTTATTTCTGAGATTATTATTTTTTTTTATGTATTTCAGTGTTACCCTTTCATCACTTGTGTAGGTTGTGCTGCAACGGGTCAATTAACCAGGGACTGTTGAAAAAGTATACATTTAATTGGATGAAGTTATATAGGTTTCCTTTTTTTGGAGTTGTGTATTCCTGCAGTGTTTTTATATACATCTGAATAATATGCTTACCCAGCTCCTATTGAGGGATTTTGGGTTATTTTGTTAATGATTAGTGTGGGTTGTTTTTCAATAGAGTTGTGTTTCTAATTTGCCATTATTTCCCCTGCTGATGACGATATCAACACTATATAGTGTGTTGTTTTCTTCTTCCCTTGTGAATTTTATTCCTTTGAAGATGTTGATTGTTTCATGTGTCTTCTCTAGTTGTTCCTTTTTTATTATGACAAAGGTTTTGTCTATGTACCTGATCCATATTTTTAGTTGTATGTGTGGGAGTGCTAGTTTCTAGATACTGTATTATAGTCTCTGCTATAAAACCTGAAAGTGGTGGGTTTTTTTGCTAGTTCTGGATAGCACACAAACCAATTAAAGCCCCCCAAAATCTTAAGTAAACCAAAAGTTCCATTAGCCCAAAGACTCCAAAAACAGGAGTCATCTACAACATATAGTATAAGGACTATAACAAGGGCAGACTGGCAGAAGACTAGGAGCATGCACCAACTACCAATCAGAAGACAAGATGAAAACTTAATCTCATAATTAAACTAACAGACAGAATTAATCATATTTTCAATTGGGAGCATTCTACACTAAGCCAAATTCAACAACACTAGGGAATTCCTTGAAAGTTGGCATTCAGACAAATCAGCTACCAATAGACACAAAGAGACAAAACATGTTTACATACCATTCAAGAAAGACAAAAAAAAAAAAAAAAGCCAAGAAGGAAACAAAATGATCAAAACATATTCTTTGTAGCAAAAACACCAGATAAACAGGAATTAACATCAGAAAAACAATAAAGCAGAAAACAATGCCCTAATCAAGAAATTACCAAGGAGAAAACCACACCCGCATCACACTGGCAGGGAAGTTACTATATATAAACAGGGGGCAAACTCTGCATTCACTAATACTGATGATGCTACTTAAGTCAGGTAATGAAATGTCTGCAAACAAACAACCAAACTCAGACAGCATCAAGGATTCCATAGTTCAACCTTGAGATACATATTATAGTCTATTGGATCCATAGGTAATGTCTTCCCAAAGCATTAAGTTACCCCTACCCTTTCCTTAGATATCTCTAATTTTCCATAATTGGTTAAAATTAAATTTAGTCGACAAAAGTAGGAAAGTACAAAGAAACAAACTTACAACCTGAAGTTGAAGAAAAATTTAACACTATTAGATATGTCAGTGTTGTTTTGATCATGTCCAATTCCCCCTTGTTCCAACTACCGTATTTTTTGGACTATAAGACGCACCGGTGTATAAGACGCACCAAGATTTTGAAAAGGTAAGCAAGAAAATAAAAAGGGTTTTGCCTTCCCCAGCCCCCAGGAGCACTCTGCAGGCCTCCCAAACCCTCTGTGCATCCCATTTTTGTGAAAAATGGGGCACACAGAGGATTTGGGAGGCCTGCATAGTTCTCCTGGGGGCTGGGGAGGGCAAAAATGTGATGCATGGGGAATTTGGGAGGCCAAAAACGGCCCCATTTTTTGCAAAAATGGGGACATTTTTGCCCTTCCCAGCCCCCAGGAGCACTCTGCAGGCCTCCCAAAGTCTCTGTGTGTGCCATTTTTGCGAAAAACAGGCCCATTTTTCGCAAAAACGGGACGTGTGGGGCGGGGCTTCAGGAGGCAAAAAATGGCTGTATTCAGTGTATAAGATGCACCAACATTTCCATCCTCTTTTAGCGGGGAACAAGTGTGCCTTATACTCCGAAAATCTACATAATCTACAAATTTGTCATGCAGTTCTCAATCCCCCCAAATTCTAGGGTTTTTTTTTTTTTTTTTTGGATTTATATGCCGCCCTTCTCCGGAGACTCAGGGCGGCTTACAATGCGTTAAGCAATAGCCTTCATACTTTTGTATATTTATACAAAGTCAGCTTATTGCCCCCACAAACTGGGTCCTCAATTTACCTACCTTAGAAAGGACGGAAAGCTGAGTCAACCTTGAGCCTTTATGTTTTACAAGAATAGAATAGCATTGCTCAATTTGCCTGATTCCCCCATTTCATTGCCAACCTATCACACAACATTCCAGAGGACCAATCAATCCTCAGGAATAACTTAAAAGTAACTGTTAAGTGAGGAATGCTCTGGTTATGTATCGGTATCCAATCTAACCAGGGGTGAAATGCTCCCGGTTCAAACCGGATCGCACGATCCGGTAGTGATGGAGTCGGGTGGTTCGGAGAACCGATAGCAAAAATCCCTGCCCCCACCCCGCCCATGCCCAGCTGAGCCGCGCGATCATCAGAGGCTTTTTTTTTTACTTTTAAAAGCATTTTTTCTACAACCTCTTTGGCCGAAGAGGTTGTAAAAAAATGTTTTTAAAAGGCTCTGATGATCCCAGCTGAGCCACGCGATCATCAGGTTTTTTAACTTTTAAAAACATTTTTTTGCAACCTCTTCAACCAAAGGGGTTGTAGAAAAAATGCTTTTAAAAGGTAAAAAAAAGCCTCTGACGATCACAGCTGAGTAGCACTATCGTCAGAGGCTCTTTTTTTACTTTTAAAAGTAATGCTTTTAAAAGTTAAAAAAAGATTGCGCGCCACAGCTGATCACCCCTCCCTCGCATGCTGTTCTACTTACCGCATGCCTCCTTTTGGCATGCACTACCTGCACGCACCTCACATTTGGTATGTGGTGCGCACTGCACATGTGCAGTCAGCGAACCTGTAGTAAACCGGTTCAGATTTCACCCCTGAATCTAACAAACTGGTTTCCAAGTTGAAAAATAGATGTATTTATAAATATCTGAAGTACCTCAAGTGATGCTTTAGAATTTGGATATTTTTCCAACACTGCACCAGTAATTTTTTTCTCTTGACACTTGCCTTTTATGTGTATTCAGTAGCATATACAAGAGAAAATCTGTGACAAATGTGTCATATATAAACACTGAAGTTACAGCAGCGCTTCACAATCACAACTCATACTTATTTCAGATTTTACAACAGAAAATATTTTTATGAAATCTGTACTACAATTGAGATTTATTATTTAATATTTAATTTCTTATTAAATATAATAGCTAGTGAATTTTAAAGCAGAAATATGGATTTAAGATTTTTAAAATCTGATATAGTTTACAATTAAAGGCTAGATGGAGGTGAATATATTGATAATGTCTCCAAAAATATTTATACTTTAATATATTTCGGTTTTTCTGCATTGGTTTAATCACCCTAACTGATAACTCACGAATTATTTAAAGTAACTTCTACATTTAATATTTGTAGCAAAAAGTAATGCATTGAAAAAAATTAGAAACTTAAATGAAAGAGCTAATTTTAGATCAGTTTGTTAGCATTCTGGCTGTTTTAGATGACTTTCAGTAGACTAATCATTTTGAAAATATGGTCAAAATAATGAACAACCTAGTGTACACATGCACAACTGAAAAAGTATCACAAATGCATGCAGTAACAGCTTAAGGAGTTTGATTGGTGGGAATAAGGAGAAAAGGCAGAACAAAGCATGCCTACAACACCATTGGGAGTTGGGAGCAGTGATCAGCTGCATGCATGTTAGATACGGTGGAACACAAATACCATACCTGAGGGGAGAGCCGATGAGCAATGAAGGAGGGGTAGGGTTACTCCCTGCATTGTGTCGGCGCCGTACTGCCTGACGCCTAAATGTGCTGCGTTCACGCCGAACTGTGACTGCTTCCTCATTGGCTTGTGCTGCTGCATCAAGACAGACCAAGTCAAATTGAACCTCAGACCAATAATGTTTACACCATCCAATGCTATTCCCACAAATTGTTCTTTCTCCTGCAAATCAGTTGATCATTTTAGTTCACTGCCAATAAAAACTATGAGTATGGAATGGTCAACTTAACAAGTATCTAGCTAAGGTTTCTTATTTCAGGCAGAGAGTTTAAGTCAATTTTAAAAAAAATAATAATTTGATTCCACAAAATCAATAGTTGTAAGCACCCATTGAAAATATATCTTAATTTCAAATAAAATCTAAATTAAATAACAGTTGATAGTTTCTTAAAGTTATAGACACTCCTATGCTAAAATTGAAAATTGAAAATGTAAGAATGGGGGTGTGGGGAGGGGGAATCTAAAATCTCCCTTGATTCCATGAAAGAAATTTCATGTTTCTTTGAACTTAGCTTTTAGTTTGTCTAGAAGTACAAAATGGAAGCAAGCAAAATTTCTCAGTTGCTCTTTTTCTCTCAACAAATGTAATTATGATATGCAAAAGAGAATGCGAACTCCCTAATGTTATTTGATGTTATTTTTTCTTATGTGACATCAAATCATTTTCAAGTTCTAGAAACCACACAGAATGGGGTTTTTTTTCTAGGACATTCTATCCCTAACTTGTTCTTTCAAGTTTCCCAAATATTTCAGAACTGTTTTCTAGCAACTAATTAGCAAGCATGCCTGTCCTGGAAATATATGGCATATATTTGGAAATTGTATTTCAAATAATTAATTTAAACATTGTACGCTGAATCTAAAAATATCTTCTTTAAGGACAGAGACTTGTAGAAACCCCTTGAGAATCTGTATAGTAATGAACTTCTTCCATTGATTATCCTTGGGGAGGAGTGAAGAATAGGAAGTTCAAGTAACCGGGTTTTAAAATGTTGTTGTTGGATGCTTCTGAAAATAGCTTTCCTGCCTTCCTTGGAACCAGATTTATCTGACTCCCATTAGCTGATTCTGACAGATTCAGAAGAAGCAGGGAATCCCACTTTTTATTATGTAATTATACTGAAATAGCTGTATATACTTTGGCTTTAGAATTTAACCGCCTTCTCAAACATATTTTAACAATAGCAATAGCACTTAGACTTATATTCCCCTTTTAACAGCATTTACGGCTGTATAAACTGAAATAAATAAAAGATTACTTTTGAAATCGCTACTGAATTCTACTTTGAAGAAGTGACATTCAGAAGCAAAGGCCACTCTCATCAGACCAATGCAATTTCTTTACTGAAGGCTGTGCCCAATCATGGGAGGGGAAGAATAAAAATACAGAACTAGTTCAATTGTTACCAAGCCAAATTTCAGTACTAATCTTCTAATTCAGACACTACTGAGTACTACAGACATCTACATTCTAGAACTCAGTTTTATTATTCTGTTTTTCTGCAACAGCTCAAGGCAATGTACATACCTTATTTTCACCACCACACCAATTTTATCCTCAAAACTAAAACAAAAATAGATTAGGCATGAAGAACTGAACTGGGTCACCTCCAATCCCAATCCAATATTTTAATCATTATATCTTAATGGCTTTCAGTGGTGGAGAGCACAAGCCTCTGAGGGTGTTGATTAGCTTGGAGAAATGGGATCTGAGGCTTGTTCTGCTTACACTGAATTTTTAGACACTGCCTACATTCATAAAAAATGAAAAACACAGCTTCATTTAGATAGAATGGCACTCAATAGTTTGTTGAACAAGCCATTGCACCTTGGGATAAATGGTTAAGTATGAATTTGTCATCGCTCTAAGCCATACATAAACATCTTCAGTTTAAAGAGAGCATGTACTTCTAATACACTGTACATAGCTGGCTTTTCCTACAGGCAACCAGAGTGGCACTTCTTAGAAATCATGCTCCATGGTTCATAAAATAGATATATTATCTAAAGACTCCACTTCTGACTTCTACTGTATACCCAAGTTCACAGAAGTTTACTGTAGAACTAAACATAAGCTACCAGAAGGAATTACACTTAATCATTTTGTGAAACAGAAGGGTTGTTTGCAGGCAATATCCCACCAATAAAAAGAGCTACTGAACTACACTTTGTATTTTGGGAAATACATGGTACTGATGCAAACAAAAACAACAGGAATAAAAAAACCTCAGAGAACTATCAAAATTATCTTAAATTATGCAAGTATGACAGGCTCCTCCCAATCCTAATAAGCAACCACCTGGACTAGACATGAACTGACACTACTGTTCAGTATTTAGAGTTTACCTAGGCATGAGAGGCAACATCCATTCTAAAACATTTTAAATAGAACAGATGTGAAAATGTATCCAGATAATAACTCGAGGCCACAGATTATGGCTAACCAGTAGATGCTCAGAATCCTGGTGTGTTCGTTTTAAAAAGAAAAATCAACTGATTATGCTGCTTATTCACACTGCTAAATCACTGTAGCCATTTTGGTAGAGTTGATAAATACTTTTAATCAGCTTCATTTATCACATACTGTATTTCTATCAGAAAATTAGGATACAGCATTGCCACTGAATACTATCATTTAAATATTGGATGAACATGTAGTGCAAGATCAGAAGATATGGAGAGACCTGGCCCATAGAATCACCAGGAGTGGGACATGACTGAATGGGTAACATCAACATAATCAAATACTGGATGTGTTAAAACTAGTCTTGCACTCAAATCTTCCATCTTAATATCTATGTTTCTCCTTAAAAATAATGCTTTAGACTGTTTATTGTCCATTAATATACCTCAGTTAAAAAGGAAGTGAATAGCTGCATGTGGATAAACAAAGCTTCATGATATCCACCCACCACAGAATCTTATACTGAGATCAGGCAGGCCTCAGAAACAAAGCATTTCTACCACCAACTGGAGTCATATACATCTAGTTTGGCATTCCTCTCACTACCAAGATGGGCAGTTCTCCCTGGTGATATAAAATACCAATATTTGTTTGTTTGTTTGTTTCCCAGGAATTTATTGAATTTCACATGCTTTTATCATAAAGTGCTTTGAAATTTCCTGTGAAAATAAAAAGTACAAACAAATTATATTAACTAAATAAGTATACATCATATTGAGCACTGAAACATTTTTATCTGTTCTGGTTTCCTCACTCAAGGCTATCACAGTCATTCTGCTACTGTTTTCTTCTCATTCCTTTGGACAGGAAACATGTAATGGATAGGTTTGTATAAATTATATAGGCTTCTTTTAGATAAGAGTATGTCTTCTCAAAATAGATCATCACATTTTATTGGCAAGTGTGTATATGTGTGTGTATATATAAAATCATAATCTCATGTAGCAATTGTTATGTCTTCTCAAAATAGATGACATAACAATTATATCATATTTAATTCCTGGCTTTTTCAACCATATTCATCAATCTTAACTAAATCTTATGAATATTTTAAAATTGAAACAGGTGAATTTTGTTCCAGATTTAGGTAAATTATTCATGAATGCCGTTTGTTGAATTATTTCCCTGTCTTAATATTTTTTTCAAAGGAAATAGCAATCTGATATGAATGTGAATCTGTTGTTTTACAAAAACCAGGAAGGTGGGGGGAGACAGATATAAAGAGGCAAAAGAGAAAATTGTAGATTTTAAAAGCTGAATTCCAAGATATCAAAAAACATTACTGGCAAAACATCTTCTCATTATGTACTGCACAAGTTAACGTACAAGGTACAAAGGGGAAAAAAATCCTATTTAAAAAAGCAACTTTAGTTGGGTTTTTTTTTCCAATGTTGAGCATAAACTAAAATGGCATTGTATCCAGAAAATCATTTTTTTCACAGCCAAGAAAAGAATGAATTTCATAATGTTACATTATTTTAAAATAGTGCTATCATATTGTTTCTTATATACCTTATATTTGCTTCTCTTCTTCAATCCATGAACACACTCATTTTGACACTTTTTCCAGCCCTTGAATTTAAATATACCAACAAGTTGACATCTACATTGCAAATAGAACCAAGAACAACATTTACCACTTGGAAAGTAATGAAGAATATGGATGTTCCATTACAAGTGGAGCAAGTATTGGAAACAATGTAACTAAATAAACCCAGAGTAGTTATTACCCTGCAAAAAATATTGCTAAAGCTGACAGGATAATACGATATTTGCATTTCTATGCTAAGTACTATGGGGAAATAAAATCTGAATCACTTTTCTTCTGAGAATACTGCTGCATATGCTTCTCTTATTCAACCTCCTACAATGTTTCATATTTCTAACTCAGCTCCAGCAAGTTACAGAAGAACATAAAGTAACTCTTTTGTCTTACATGTTGACCTAAATTTAAATGGCAGCAATTAATTCCTAAAGTTTGCTTTTGGCAGATATGAATGACAGATTTTTACATAAAATAATCCAATATAACCATTACTGTGTGCATAAGGCATCAGTTCTTTACAGACAGAAGATAAATTACAATATTTACCCAAAAGGAAAATTATTTTGAATTTAAGATGATTGAAACTTCTCTTGGAATGACAGAAAAAAGATCATTTCAATCTGTTACCATATTCCCAGTGAACATATATTACTTTATAGTAAAGATAAATGAGGGTGGGGGAAGACAATTCTTCCTATTGTATAAATATCAATGTTTGTATTATAATGAATTATATCCAACTGATGTCATAAGAACTACACCACAAAATTCTAAACTATGCATTGGATCTTACTTATATCTCCAGGCCAGTTCTGTAACCTTTGCAAGTCACAAGTTTATTATGAAACTTCATCATTGAGAATACTATAACTGTTAATAATTGCCAAAATGTGCATTACAACTACCTTCACTTCTGAAAGTAGAATTGACTGCATTCTACTCATAAGAAAGTTTAGTATGGTTAACCATAAATAATGAAGCTATTAGTCAGCTATTATGCTAGTGAATGATGTCAACACTGGATGAGAAAAGCTTTCTTTCTGAGAATTTGTATCAAGGGAAGCTGGAGTAAACTTAATATTGTGCCAGTTGCTAATCATGACTATCACAATCTGATGAGTTCATGCATATCACACATCTCACGAGATCACGGAGATTTCATCTCCCAGCTATTTCAGTTTTAAAGCAACCTAGATCTGGTTAGTGTGTTTGCTAACAATAATTAGCTCGTTATACTTGACAAGCCCTCATTGACTCATGATGGAAAAAGTCACACAAAACAGCAGAAGATTCTCCATAACCTAACTTGGCCTGTTAGCACTGTTACATTTGGATCCAATCAGCAAAGAAGTGGAAATTGGAAGATCAAATTGAAGTTGATATTTTATTAATTAGATGAACAGAAACAGAAACAGAAACAGACTAGTACTCTTAATAATTAAGATATGAGAAGAAAATAAATATATCATAAATGTGGAAAAATACTACTTTAAATTCAGACTCTTTGCATTGAATAGCAATTTCTTAGTTCTGAAAAAGCTTAGGAAGCACTTCATTCCAACATGATATAATAAAATTGATCCGTAGTTGTTTCTTAAAAATGAACAGGTACACTTTATTTATTTTATTTTTTTTTAAATAATGCTAAGGACTAACAAACAAGTCTGGGACACTAATATTACCCTGTTTCCCCCAAAATAAGACATTGCAAAGTAATGTTTGTTTCCCCCAAAATAAGACATTCCCTGATAATAAGCTCAATCGAGCTTTTGAGTTCATGGCAATAAGGCCAAGTGCTTATTTCAGGGTTCAAAAAAATACAAGACAGGGTCTTATTTTTGGGGAAACACGGTATATGATTGTCTACAAAGAAAACAATGTTAATTTTTAGGTAACGTAAAAGCTTGGGAAATATTGATATCCTTCTAGACCAAGACATTTCAGTTCACAATACAACTACTCAAACTGTATTGCAAAGACTGTTAACATTTCTATTTGCTATATCTCTGTCAATGTTTATGATGAGGTTATGATGAGTGTATATAATAAAATAAAACTGAAATAATAAGCCTTTTTGATCACTGATTGTGATAATGCTAGTTTATACTTATATTTCGTTGAATTATTTAAAAATATTTCATAAGTGAAAAAACAGTGATTGCCTTCCCATTTAACTGCAAATACTTTAAATATGAAGCATCAACTACTTTAGTAAACAAAGTGGGATAAAATTCAAATATATAAAAAGTCACACACACACTCATACAAACATACATATACATATAGTATATATATAAACATGTTGTGCTAATTAAACTGAAACAGCCTGTCAATATAAATTATCAGAAACCCTCTCACTTGGGATTTCTATTAACAGTAATATTAATCCCAATAGAAGAGCATATTTTATTATTTATAGTAAGTTATAATTATAACATATAAGCTATATTTATAAGTTACATTCGTTGGCACTGTTTATTCTTAAAACCATACAAGATACTACTGAGGAAATGCTTACAAATCAGAATCGTCAATTGGAGATGCTTTTCTTTCTGCCACTCTATTGTTCTAAGTTATGTTTTGATCATTGGCAACTTTACTTATATGAAAGTTCAGGTTTATACAAAACATAAATATTTTGCAAGAATTTCTAAGCTGGAAGGTGCTGGTGTGCTTGTGATATGCTGCTACTACAGGTAGTCCTCAACTTACGACAACAATCCAACCCAAAATTTATGTTGCTAAGTGAGAGATATGTTAAGTGAGTTTTGCCTTATTTTATGATTTTTCTTGCCACATTTGTTAAGTGAATCACCACAGTTGTTAAATTAGTAACACGGTTGTTAAGTGAACTTGGTTTCCTCATTGACTATGCTTGTCAGAAGGTTGTAAAAGATGATCAGGTGACGCAGGAGCACTGCAACCGTCATAAATGTGAGTCAGTTGACAAGTGTCCAAATGTAAATCACATGGCCATGGGGATGCTGCAACAATCGTAAGTGTGAAAAATGATCATGTCACTTTTTTCAGTGCCATTGTAAGTCGAGGACTGCCTGTACTAATAGACTTCAGCTTTCTTGACTGTCAAGTATGTTTAAAAGTGACCTAAAGTAAAACTTGAATAGACCTATCAAGCAAATAGATAACTAGCCCCTAATGTGCTTAAAGAATCAAATAACAGCCGTTTTATGGAAAGAAAAATCTCCTTGATCTTCAGAAGCCAATATACTGAGAGGGCAAAGAGCTGGTTTCATTATCCTCAAGAAACAAACATGGACCTTAAATCTACTGCAAAATATACCATATTTTTCAGACTATAAGACGCACCCAAACTTACAGGAGGAAAACAAGAAAAAATAGTTTTTGGCTTCCATGTGTCGGATTTTCATGCTCCCCGGCCCCCAGAAGCACACTGCAATGCTCCACACAGCCCATTTTCACCAAAAATGGCCCCATTTTTGGGCTCCCAAGCTCTCTGCTCATCATGTTTTCGCCCTCCCAGGGCCTCAGAAGCACTCTGCAGTGCTCTACACGGCCCGTTCTTGCCAAAAATGCGTCCATTTTTGCCAAAACTGCGCCCTATTTTGCCTGCAGAATGCTTCTGGGGGCCGTGGAGGGCGAAAACACGACCCGCTGAGAGTTCGGGAGGCCAAAAATGCCCGTATTCGGTCTATAAGACGCACCTAAATTTTCACCCACTTTTGGGGGGGGGAGGAGGTGTGTCTTATACTCCGAAAAATACGGTATATACTGGAAAATGCTTTAGAAGAAATTAGTATCTGTTTAATACTTGCACTAATTCAGCATTAAAATATACATTACAACCATGTTCCACTGGAATATTTGTTGATGATGAAAGCAATATAGGAATTGTTATATTGAAGAAACCACACACATATCAAGAGCTTAACTTATGGGACTCACAAAAAAGGCCAGATGGTACCACACTACAAAAGAAAAGAAATCTGTGTTTTGTTCAGTCATTACAATAAGACAAAGAGATGCAACAGAAAAACTTGAAAGGAAAGATGCTATACATATTTAAGAGCTTTAAGTAGTAGAATGCAAATATGTTCAACATTACCTCATTATTACAGATAAACAGATAAACATGATAAAAGTAAATATTTTACTAGATGACAAATACAAAGCATCATATACTTGGGTATCAATATGCCTACAGATACCTCACTGGGCACCTGTCAGATTGCCTATCTTGCCTGGCTTTTTAAAATTGATGTTTTTGGCAGTAGGCTATAATTGGCTGGCACTTAGGCTGTAATATTGTTCTCATTTACCATAATCACAGCAATTCTTAGAAAATTAATACAATCGATAGCTTTAATTTTTTTTTTTTATTTGGAAGTGTGCTCACTAGATCAGAAAATAAATGATAACCAGAGGTAGTAGGGATTATATTCTTTGATAGCTGGGAACAACTTCACCAGTTTGTCTTTTGACAAATGGGTGTTTGTGGTAAGACCCGCCAAGACATCCGTTTTGTGAAAGCATCAATACCACATTTTCAACATTCCAATGTGTCCAACTGACCTCAATAATTCTGTTGAGTTTGAGTTCAACCTGTCTTAGTTCATGTTGAGGGATCCAATATTAGCAATAGTAATGCTGTACTATTTACTATTTACTGCTAATTGAACTCAGAATAGCATTAGCATAAAATGATCTCAAAATGTAAAACACCCATAATAAAGATGACCTGCAAGAAGTTGAAAATTCTTATAAGCCAATGTAGACTATGTAGAGAACAATCGCATTGATAGACAGTGCTGCATCTAAAGTATTCCAGTTACTTACCAATGCTTCCCTTCTCCTGATCTTCTCTTTCAGTAAACATAGGCTGGTTTGGTAAGCTATTTCTAGAGCGAGTGACTGATTCTAGTTGTGAAGCCCTTCCCAACAGAGATAGCTCATCAAGCACCTCTCCCTCTTTGGCCTCTAAGTCAGATTTAGAAGTTGTTAGTTGTTTTATTGTATCTGGCATCATTAGATTTGGATCATTCAAACAGGCTACTGCACCACTATCCAAGCTTAATACCCTGGTACGACTCTTGGCACTGTTTGTATTGTGAGTCTGTCGGGTTGAATGCTTTTTGACAATCGCATCAGTGCCCAAGTGAATTTTGTAAGAATTTTCCAAGTCTGTGCCTCTCTCTTTGGCAATATATTTTGTCTTTAGGGCATTGAATTTTCCTTCAGGAGACTGGCATGAATGAGAAGTTGTGCTGGAAGAGCTATCACTGCTGAACTGGTGGGCTGACTGCATACTTGAAGTTCGGCTCAAATCACTTTGATCACTTGAGTCTTCATCATGGCAAAAACCTGCACTGTGGGGCTTGTTAGCAGATACTCCTCGGAAGGAAATATACTCTTTGTGTCGACTTGTGTCAAAACTACTCGCCCGTTTTTTCCCTGTCCTTCTCCTGCTAGATTTTTGAGCTGAACCTGTCCGATGGATTAAGCTACAGGATTTAGGACGCACATCCCCCTCCTTCTGCTTTTCTACCATTTCCTTAAAAGTTCTTGAGTCAACCACGGAAGATTTCTCTTTATGTTCATCTCTTTTCACAGCAGGATTTCCGGGAGACTGTTCTGCTTGTGTTGTTAGTTCATTAGCATGAGGATTCTTATTTGCTTCTTCTGAAGCAGAGGTACTAAGGGCCCTCTGATTGTGCATCTCCTCTGATGCATTCAGGCATTCTTCTACTTGAATGCAACTGCTGGTTTTAGTTTCAACTATAGTTCTTTCCTTGCTCGTCCTTTTGTTAGTAGCAACGTGACAGTCCTCAGAATCAACAGCATAGTCTTTTTTCTTGCTGCTTTTTTTCTCTTCTTTAGGTGACACCTCATGATCTGACAACATGCTTTCTATATGAGTTGAACTTGTCTGCTCACTTTTATAGCTGCTGACAGTACTGATTGTGTCACGGTCAGTCCCACTACAATAACTCTCTGTTGAGCCACTACTTCTTGTACTCAAGCTTCTCAGGCTATCCACACTTTTATCTGCTTGTAGAGACTTACTCCTGCTGCTTTTGACTAGCAGCTGTGGACTGCTACATTTTAGAATATCATCTAGTTGAAATACACCAGAGATACATGAGTTCTCAGCTAATGATTCTTTGGATCCTGTTCGAGGCTTGCAAGCTTCTAATTCACTGACAGTATCCAGCCCCCGCCTTTGCTGATAGAGAGGAAAGTCATTTAGTGATACATCTGGAAATGCAACAGCTGAACTGGAAGTCCGTGGCACACCTCGTGGTCTATGATCTTTCCTGTAGGAGTGTGAATGCAAAGGGACCAGAGAAGCCATTTCTGTGTCACATGCATTAGACACAGAAGGATCTATATGCTGATTAGGAAGGCACACTTTATCAGTACTGTCTCTTGATAACTCCTGTGCAGTTGACAATGAGGGCTGTATGGATACAAAGGAATCAACGGAGACCAGATGAAAAGTCTTCCGATCAGCTGTCAAATCTGTTTGTTTAAAAAAATGAAACAAAATTAAGAATTTTGCATATTACTCTCACTGCTATAAAATGTCATTTATTCTAGATTTCTTTTTCAGCTAATGTGTAAATACAGAATCTGCTCTAATAAATATGACTAAAATCCACAATCCTTATTGTTTTCTTAGTTATTCACCACTCAGCAAATCTATGCATAAGAATATCAGTCTACCAAAACCCTAAACAATGATAACCGAGACAACTATTACATGGAATTAATGCAAGAACCCAAAAGAGGTAGAATAAGTATTTTACAATGTATACTCTAGGTAGTTCTTAGCTTACAACCATTAATTCAGTGACCATTCTAAGTTACAGTGGCTGATTGAAGGGATTGATGACCAGTCTCTAGGTTACAGCTGTTGTAGCATCCCTGTGGTCACATGATCAAATTTTGGGTGTTTAGGGGCCCACCTGCAATGATAACCACAAAAATATTGCAAGTCCCCCCAACCACCTATCTTTCCCCATCTATGCCCTTTTACAGCTACAGAGTCATGGTGAATCAAGATGCCCTGAGCCACAGTGCCCAGCTTGGTAGGCAGTAGTCAAAAGGACAGAGATGGGGGTCACAGGTGTATGGGGGAAATTGAAAATGAGTCCCTTACTTATCAAGAGCAGGAGCTGGGAAAACAACAGGAGCTTACCCCGTCATGGTCTCGAAACTGGGCTGTCAGCTTTCCAGCTGACAAGCTCACTCTTTAACCACCGAGCTATCGTGCTCCCATAGTTAAATAATAAAATAATGTAAATAAAAAAATATTGTAAGTAATCAGTCTTGATACCCTGTTTCCCCCAAAATAAGACATTCCCTGATAATAAGCCCAATCAGGCTTTTGAGCACATGGCAATAAGGCCAAGCACTTATTTCAGGGTTCAAAAAAATATAAGACAGGGTCTTATTTTCGGGGAAACACGGTAATTACAATAAGCTAACTTTTTGATGAAATCCAGATAACAAAAATAAGTCATTAATATTGCATGAATATTATGCTAAGTGCATTAGCTCACTTGACTGCAGATCTGGAAGCATGCAAAATATAACATATGGATATGTGTGAAAATCACTTCATCAAGTTTGTTGTAGAGAAGTCTTTTTTAAAAAAAAATAAGTGTTTAATTCTAACTCTTTGCAAGCTACTTTCATTAAGATTCATATCAGTAGCATATGAATCCACAGAGAAAAATACTTATGACACATCTAACACCCTCTGAGGTTTGCTAGAAAAAAAATAAAAGACTTTAGAATAGCAAAAGACTTCAGATGTAATCATAACTTTAGTCTTGATTATATAACAGATAAAATGATCAGTTAATACAGCAAGCTACAGTTAAATGACTATTATTTTGCAAATACAAAATTAAGAGTTATTATTTGTTTTACTAAAAAAGTAACAAGGATATAACACATAATAGGTTGAACAAGACATACATACCTTGTTCTTCGTTCCCTTCTTTACAAAGACTAGAACTCTGGCCAAGACTCAGACTGATATCATCAGAAGTCTTTGCAGTGTCTGTATCACCTAAGTAGTAGAAAAAATGTTAGCTCAGAAAGCATCACCCTATATGCCTAAAGGAAAATAGAATTTAAAAGGTGTTTTTAATTCTCTACATATAGTTATAATGATCTGAATTGTATACTCTATCTGTATTAGATCAGCAGGGACACTCTTGCATACTCCTGTTGCATTAATGTAAGACTACACTGCGACAGAACAACTAAGAAAACTAAAAGATAATAGGGCATCTCCACCATATTAAATTACATTACGTTGCTGGCTAATATGCCTGTGCAACCACAAAACTGATGAGAGAAAAGGCACATCATGGAAGACTAAGAGAGTTTGCTAGTGTTACATCCAGTATTCAAGAAGCTGCAGAATTTACAACAGGGAGGCCAGTTGCAGTCTGTGAGACCTCATCATACACAGGGCTTACCTTACTATTTCTAGTGAACAGCCCCAGATAATCCCTATAAGAGGATAGCACGAAAACGACTCTCATATATGATATGGTGAGGATATATATTGCAAATGAAATCCCAAATGGTCAGTACATCCTTAAAACCAAAATAAGTCTCACCCTTCATATAAGGATGAAAGAGCACTAACACCTCTAAATTCCCTGTTTGTAATGATACGAATGACCTGTAATTCTTGAATCCATTCTTCCATACAAAATCACACACACCGAGGACACAGGAGCAATCAGCAGGGATTAAGGACATGTAATGTAATTCCTTATATCAACAAAATAAGTTCATTCAACATTATATCCCCAAGAAGATTTGGCTCACTTATGCATTATTTAAAGGAAACTAAATTGAAGGTGCTGACCCGATGTGAAGTGATGATGGGAAATCATCAAATGTCTTCTTGATGGCCCAAAGCCCTGAAATCCTCTATACTTTCTCCTAAATTAGGAAATGTCCCTAACTACCTGTTTTTCAGAAAATGTTAAGACTTTATTATTTTCTAGAGCAGTTGAATGCTGATGATGCACGTTAGTTCATTTTGCTGCATTAGCTTTAGCTGCATTATTACTGTAAACCACCACCTCAGGCTCAACTAAGTGAAACTTTATAATATCTTTGCAGAAAGAAATAAACCATTATATTTTCAAATGAAACACCAAAGTAACTTTAACCAAAGATTGGAACAGATTTAGTGCATCAAATAACATTGCAAGGAGTGAAAACCTGTATGGCCGGACCTGACTTATTCCAACTTTATGAACATGGAAGTTGTGATCTGAAGAAGCGCTATAGAGATTGGGTTGGTAGCTCATTTAACTATATTAGGAAACAATAATTATTACAGAGCTTAAGATGAAATAATACCATCTTTGAGAGTGAAGATTTGTTCTCCAAGTTTGTGAGTTGGTTTCCAAACATTTCATTACCAGACTAGATAACGACTTCAGTAGAATTTAGGGATTCTTAAATTCCTACTGGCTATATTGCCAAAGGCATGAATATGGTCAATAAAAATCATTGCATATACGACAGTGGTGAAATGTAAAATTTGTTACTACCAGTTCTGTGGGCATGGCTTGGTGGGGTGGTGGTAATGTGACTGGGTGGGCGTGGCCAACTTTTTTTTTTTTTTTTTTTTACTTTTACAAGCATTTTTTCTATAACCTCTTCGGCCGAAGAAGTTGTTTAAAAAAATGCTTTTAAAAGGCTCTGACGATCCCAGCTGAGCCGCGTGATCATCAGAGGGTTGTTTTTTTTAACTTTTAAAAGCATTTTTTCTAAAAAACCTGATGACCGCACGGCTCAGCTAGGCATGCGGGGGGGGGGGGGGGGGGTTTTTTTTTTCGGTTTCTTGAACCCCCCCCCCACCCCCCCCAGATAAAAAAACTAGAGCTGTGAAAGTTCAAACCAATTTCTTCTTGGAAATACTTCAGAAGATATTCCAGAATAATATGTTTCAATCCTGGAAGAGGCATGCTACTGCAACAGGAAAGCGAAGAGAAAGAATTCCTGGGATATCAATTTTAGGGTTAAAAAATTAAAATTTAAAGTAAAGATATTCTGTATTTTTTTTTTGGTCAGGCCTCAAGGTTCAATACGAATTTTTCTGTATCTTATATTGTGTCAACAATATCTATCAACAATATAATGGAAAATCCTTTTAATACTAATGCATCTGCTGCGGTTATTCAAAGATGAAAATTAGAATGTTACCTTTAATGGTAGCTGCAGTTCCATGACGAGATAAACCTGATCCAATCTAAAAAGAAAGAAATAACCAAGTGAGTTGCACCAGTAATTTACCTTCTTAGGCAAAATTGGGATAACCGGAGTAAATACCTGAAATCCCCTTTATTAATAGAATAATAGGAATAGTACCTTTAAGCTTTTTAAAAAATAATATTTTAAAAATGTTTATTTTGTAAACACAAAAATTTAAGCTATTGTGTACTGCAATATTGTCTACTGCAAATTAATCATATAATTGCTTTCCCCCCTAAATCACTGTGCTATTTCTGCTCCTCTCATAAAATAGATTTTGGAATTTTAAATAATGTGAATGATTAATATCAATCATAACAATAATGCATAAATAACTGCAATTAGTAATACCTACAGACATCCAAATACATGAACATACAATGATTCACAGAATCCAATCAGCCCAATGTTAAACAACTCAGAGAATAGCAACAAAAATAACTGTTTCATTGCCAGAATAACTTCAACAAATTATGTAAATAAAAAAGAAACACTTTGAAAGAATTTAACAAATGTACGATATTAAAATCCTGGAAGTTGACAAAAAGCAAAGGAATAAGATCCTCAATAAACTAAAACAAATGATGATAAAATAATCATGAACATTAAAGGGTACTGTTATTTGGCTGATATTTCAGCTGAATTTAACTAAATAAAAGTCATGTGTCCCCAAACAGTTCTTACCTGGTTATTTAGATCTAGGCCAGCAAAAGAATTTCGGGAACTGCATCCTACAGGAGGTGTGGCTTCTCGAATAAACTCTGACATCTCAATCCCTCCACCTGGATCACTAAAAGGTAAGAAATTTTAATGTTTAAAGTATTATTTTGGTTATTTATATCAAGTTACACCAAAGGATATATTTGAAGTTTTTTCAATTGCCAGTATTGTTAATACTCAGTACATCCACTGAAACTGCACAAAATTCAATGTTGTAATCCCAAATCTTTAGTTAGCAAATTATCAAGAGTTGTTCAATCTCTTCTATATCTAAGAAATAATAAGCTTCTTTATATTATTACAGTATTTTATACCCAAGTTATTATTCATAAAAATGCCCCCAAGATGACAGAATCCAAAAAACTATTCTTCTCACAAGAGTGCAAAAGGTCTCTGATTAACACAATTCTAAAAAGGTATGCTAAAGAAAAGGAGTACACTGAAACACTGTACAGTGGAGATACCTTAGAAGATATTCCCTACTTACAAGAACCTCTAGTATTAGAAGATGAAGTAAGATCAACAATCCAAGTTGGAAGGCTACAGGAACTGGTGAAATAACACACAGAAATATGGAAATCAACAGAAAAAGAACCAGTAAAAGTTGTAACCAGACTGAAGAATGATACAGTGGCCAACAGACAGGAGAAGAGCCTTTTCTGCTGTGGCTCTCTCACTCTGGAACATTGTGCTGTTTGAGGTGAGATCCACCATCACCTTCTTGATTTTCTGAAAAAGGCCTGAAAACCTGGCTCTGCCGGTTGGCTTGGGGTCCCAATAGTGTCCTACTCTGTAGATGGTTAATAGACTTAGAAGAAGATCCCAGTTCCACCCCATTTGTGTACTGATTCCCATCTTATTATTTTGTTATTAACTTTTAATGTTTAGTGTTTATACACACACACACACACACACACACCGTGTTTCCCCAAAATGTCTTATATTTTTTTGAACCCTGAAATAAGTGCTTGGCCTTATTGCCACGCGCTCAAAAGCCCGATTGGGCTTATTATCAGGGGATGTCTACCTGTGTTTATGATGTTGTAAGCCAACCAGAGTTGTTCATCAGTGAGAAGGGCAGCATATAAATGTAATAAATAAATAAAAATTAAAAATACCAAAGTAGAGCAAACTATCATACAATAGTCTTAATTGCTAGCAAAATAATGCTGAGGAACATCCAATGTAGATTAGAGTTCTACCTGGAAAAAGAGATGTCAGATGTTCAAGCTGGCTTTAGATAAGATCAAGGAACCTGAGATATTATTGCTGAATAACTGAGAAAGCCAAAGAAGATACTTGCTTCATTGATTATATAGAAAAGCCTTTAATGGTGTTAATCATGTCAAGCTGTTGAATATGCTCAGAAAAATAGGAATCCCAGAACATCTAAATATTCTCATCAAAACCATATATACTGTACAAGTCAGGAAACCACAGTACAGCAGAACATGGTAAAATAAACTGCTCCAGCTGGGCAAAAGAGTGTGACTCTTCCCTTATTTATTCAGCCTACATGCTGAATCTTAAGAAAAGATGGATTGGAAGATGAGGATAGACACTTCTGGGGAAGAAATGGCAAACTCAAGAACTACACATAGTAAGTTAAGTTAAGTTAGAATGGGCTCTATCCCACTCTGGGGTCTCCAGATCTTCAAGGCCTTACAAAAGAATGTCAGAGTGGGGACAAGTTTAATTTCTGTAGGGCTCCTTATTCCAAAGGGAGGGAGCCATCAAGGAGAAGGCACTTCTTCTGGGTCTTGCCAGATGTATCTCCTTAGAGGAGGGGACCCGCAGCATTTTTTGCCTCCCTGCTCTAGTAGGTTGAGTAAATGTAACAGGCAAGAGATGGTCCTTCAGATAACTCGGTCTCAAGTCATGAAGGGCTTTAAAGGTGACAAACAGCACCCTAAATTGCACCTGGAAATAAATCGGCAGCCAATGCAGCTTCTGCAGGAGAGGTAACACGTGCACACCCAGGTCTGCAAAAATCATGCAGGCCAAGGCATATTACGAATTGGGTCTGTTTGGGGCAATGCCATTCCATCCAAGACAAAAGGTAGCAATTTTCCATGGACCAAAGAAAATAAAGCCAGAGCCACTCGGTCTTGCTTCCATTGCTTCCCATCCAGCTCCTAACAGTTTCCAAGCACTGCAAGTATCATCATCATATTTATGATATATCAGTCCATAGTGACGGATGATCTCATTCAGCATCTTCAAGGTATTGCTTATGACCTTTAAAGCCTTTAAAATTTTGTCTTTATTTTTGCAATCAGATCATCCTGCTGACTCATTATCAGTAGCATTCAACTACTATTTCAAAGTCTTTTTCTCAAGTACTGTATCTCACTATAGCCAAGCCAGACAACCTCCGTGCTATATTGCTGCATTTGATTTTTGCTTTTCAAATATACAACTTTGCTGTTTTCTGTATTCAATTTTATTCCATTACTTTTGCTTCATTTCTTTAACCTATCAAGATTGTTGTTTGTTATTAGCTATCCCACACATTTTTTTATCATCTGCACTAATGAATACATAAGAACAGAAGACTGAACCATATGGCTCCCTGTTTGATACTTTTCTCCTGTTGATGATGAATCCTTGATGATAGGATTTTTTGAGCCAGCTATGTACCCACTTAACTGTCATGCCTTAGAATCCCGATCAAAATCTCATGGGTACTTCAAAGAAGCCTCTGAGTAGGCATTAATGTTCCTAGGGCTACTATCTCCCTCTGCATCCTCAGCAGGAACTCAGTTGCTGGGATTGAGAGGAATAAAAAAGTAAAAAGTTTCCCACACACTCACTACAGGCACTTTTTGTGGCAAAAGTCCATATGTACCTGCTCATTCATGCTGAAAAATGAAGGGACCTGTTTGAAAATCTTGGGTTTTCAAGTGCTACTCTTTAGACTCTGGCCTATATAATGGATTCAGAGTGAATATATTCTTATGAAGCTCACAAATATAAGCATAATTCAACCCACAATAACACATAATGATTTTAGCTCAATAATCAAGGACAATTCCATGTATTATTTTCTACTACTATCAACAATTGGAATAGAGAATCTATAACAGAATAGATGAACAAAATGAACTGAACAAGAACTCTGAAGAACACAAGCCAGCACAGTAAGTTTAAAGGCTAACCCAATCTTCTATAACTCAGTAGTTTATAAAATGCACAATAAAAACAAAAACTTCATTAGAAGGAAAAATCAGTGATTATTGGGGGGAGGGGAACCCACACAGGACCCATCACCCACCTTAAATCAGGACCTGGGGACAGAGCCACTTTTTAAGAACTTATTGAAATGCAAGGAGAGCCATATAAATATTTTATAATTCTTTTATTCTGTTCTATTTTCAGTTTGTACAAATTGGAATTTATTTATTTATTTTAATTTATAGCCACACTCTTGCCAAAGTGAATCTAGATAGCAAACAAAATATAAAATTCATCAATATAAATAAACCAATTAAATAAATAAATAAGAAACAGCAGCCAAGAATAAAACACTGAAATAAAAATAATGAATCAAGTCTCACAAACTACCAATCTCCACACATAAGCCAACAAGTCTTAAATGCTTTCTGGAATGCCCGCAGGGTAAGGGATCAAGCTAATCTCAAGTGGTAATGAAAAGGCACAACAATTGTAAAGATACATGGCACCCAAAGCATGTCCCTGCAAGCAGATCTAATAGAGCAGGTAGAAACAATCATTGAGAGGTGGTCCTTCAAATATCCTGGCCTCATGTCATAAAGAGCTTTTTAGGCAACAACCAGCACTTTGTTTACCAAAAATGAATACAGGTTGCAGAACAAAGATGTAACATATGCAAAATGAGGAATGCTCATAATTGCCTTTGTTGCCACATTCTTCAACAACTGTTGTTTATTGATGCTCTCCAGGGGCAGCCTTATGTAGAATACATTGCGTAAGTCTTTATGTGAGCTGACCAAGCACGAGTGATCATGCTTTGTGCTCTGGAGGCTAACTAAAAGCAAGGAACAACTGCTATAAGCACTGAATAATGAAAAGAGACACAGTATGTAAATAAGGGTGTCAGTTTCTCTCTCACCCAACTTGTCTATCTTCTTGAATCATGGGAATAAGAAAAGTTGTTATTGGGGCTATAATGTCCTACAGGCAGAAAATTAAAATGAGGGCGAAACTTTTAGTACTAATTTGTTTCAAGGAAAAGTCTGAATCTCTTTTAGGCTGAACCTGGACCAATCTGCTTATCTTTTGTACAGAATGGCTTCCAAATAAAGCAGGTAGATAGATAATCTGCAGCTATGAGTACAGTGGCAGGTAGGCCATAATATGAAAAAACAAGTCTTGTTGCCTACAAGAAGGAATGAATCGTTACTTAGGTCCACTGGTTAAAGCATCAGACTAGAAACCAGGAGATTGTGAGTTATAGTCCTGCCTTAGGCATGAAAGCCAGCTAGGTGACTTTGGGCCAGTCACTCTTTTTTAACCCAACTCCCTCACTCAGGTTGTTGTTGTGAAGAAAATAGGAGGAGGAACATTAATTATGTTTACCATCTTGAGTTATTTATAAAAATAATAAAGTCAGGGGGGAAAAATAAAACTTTAAAAAAATCATCTCAGAATATAAATAGTTACCAGAATATAGTGACCAAAAATGGCCACACTTAAGATTTCTTACCTGGGTCCATTACTGTCCCTTCTCTTGGTAGAAGAGTTATTCTGCTCTGCTTTTGCACTCCTGTCCATTTGCTCACTGGCATTTCTCTCCACAATCTCACCTTCATCAAGTGCTCTGTGAAGACGGTAGTTTATCATCTTCAGAACAATGAAGAGAGCAGCTATCACTGGGCAGTAAATTGCTACTATCACCATGGAAGAAGGAAGAGCCTTTTGAAAAAGAAAAGGAATTGGATACAAGAGGAAATTAGGGAAATTATTTTCAACATTTAGTTGTATACACTTTGAATCTGAATATTCACAACTTGTCATGTACAACAAATTTAGGCAGTATTAAAATATAGTTAACAATATAAATATACATTATACATGAAAGAAGCATAAGTTTTCAACCTATGTCTAAGTTTTGAGTTTATGTTTTCTCTGGAAAAGAGTATTAATTGATAAAGATTGTTTTTAAAAAATGATACTGAGATGGAAAATGAAAGGAAAAAGAATTGACTAATATGTGGCTTTAGTTACTCTTATGCAGGCTGGACAAATGCAGCCATCAAATCACACAGAAAATATAGCGATAACCAAACAGATGAAATGTAGTGATTGTCTAAGAGTCTGTACCATGCTGGTTATGGAACTGATCAGAAATGAGGTGACCTTGGATCCTAATCCTAAATCAACATAATCTTTGTTATTACTGAATAGAAACAGAGCACTATGCCATCAAATCTTATTTAAATAGAGAACTATTAAGAAAGGTCTACATATTCATGCCTAACCTCAAACAGGTCATTCTCAAAACTGGAGAGTGATTTAAAACATAATTGAAAGGGAAAATTGAGAAAGTGAAAGCTTTGCAACATGCTTTAAGTTACTGGAAACCACAATTCAGCTACAGTATATGCAGCAAGGAAGTAAAGGAACCGCAAAGTCCAAAGCACTAGCTGGCTATTAAAAAATAACAATGCAGTTTTTATGGTAGATGTCTCCCAAACTGATGTTCAACACATCTGAAGGGCATAACATCCACCAAACCCATATATAACATATACATGCTTCTATCCAGTCTGCACCAATTTTGGCTGGTGGGTTCCAGAAGAGCCCCTGCCTTTTTGAAGGAGGTGAGCTCTGCCACCTCTCTTTTAGCCTCAAACTAAGAAAGACTTAAAACTTGGCTATGCTGGTTGGCTTGGAGTCCTGAAGTACAAGCTGCTGGCTGGAGGTGGCTGGTACAGTAATAGAGAAGGCACCACCACCTCTAAACTTCAAACCCATGATTTTTTTTGGGGGGGAGGGCGCCAGGGGGTAGTGAACTTTTTATATATTTAACTGTTTTTAAATTTATAATTATCTTTGTATTTGCATATTTTATGACATTGTAAGCTGCTTAGACTAGCTTGAAACTGAGATGGGTGGCAAATCAATTTAATAAATAATTGCTACGATATAACTGAGTATACACCAACTATCCTGCCCAAAAGTCTGTATCTTTACTCTCTGGACCTCCACCCATTCCTGAGTGAAAAAAGTACATTTTACCTACAGTTATTAGCGTGTGAATGAATATGTTATATGTGTGAATAAGTAAATGTCATGAGTCTACTACCTGAGACAAGAATTCCACGTGTTCAATCAAAGGAGAGTATCTATCTGACTTAAAGGCAAATAGAGGATAGAGACCTTTATGTACAAATAAAAGCACAGGTTATGAAATACTCATGAACTCTCTAGTTGGAGAAATATTGAGCACTATTTTGGCCTCCTACAATTCTTTGATCAACAGAATGGTACAGTATTTAATTTTCATCCTATCAGCCAATCACAGGATATAGACAAGCTTGTTTTGATAATGGCTGTTAAGAGCCCTGGCTGGTTCTAATGTGTATTATTAAGAGTAGAAATTGTGGTAAATTAAATCACTGAGTACTTTAAGCTCTAACTTAAAAATAGTACCTACTTGGCAAGGAAGTTAGATTAGATATGGACATTAAATATTAGTGAACTGCTGAATTATCTGCATTTGCACTCTTCATCTAGTATCAATTAATAATGAAAAGTTTATTTAAAAGATATTTTGAAAAATGATTCTATTTTAAGAGTATGTTTAATATTATATATAATCTCCATCACTGTTCTACTCAAACAGCAATTACTGTTCTGAATTTGTTAGCTTTTTCTTCACCATTCTTGACCTCTAATGTATAAAATGATGAGTTTTTTATTTTTTACATGCCGGAATTATCATATAGCAATTTAGATAAAATGTTTTTGGTTGCAAACTTAATATTCTGCAGTATTTCCTAATGGGTAAGTAAATGGGCAAGTGAAAAAAAATGGAACATCATTATCTGCTTTAAAAACTAGTTTAAAAAATCCTTATTGATGCTTCTATTTATATTTCTTCTGCACATATTGAGGGAATCAGAACTCTGAAGAACAAGAGTAATTCTGACAATTCTATTAAGTACTCATCATACTGAGTTGTTTCTAGAATTTAACAGAACATACCTATTAAGATTTAGAGTGAGGGCCACCTTTTTATTTTACAAAGGATAGCTTGGAGTAAAATTTAGTATTTTAATATTTGCAATTAATCATTTAACTTATTTGTCATACTAATCATTTGATGTATTTTAGAATTTACTCTGTCATAACACTTTTTTGGGAAGAGTGACACCTTATAATTTCTTTTTGAAGAAATTGTGCCTTGTCAAACTGGCTCAAGCTTACTTGCTCACCCTGAAGCACCATGGTAATGAAAACACACTGCAGTACCCAATTGCCCCAACTCCCCAGATATCTACTTACTTAATGCTGCAACTCCTTCAGTTATATTAATGAACACATCTTAGAATGTTCATAAACATAACTGATGGTGCAGAAACCATGCTGAACATTCTCCCAGCTGAATTTCTTTTTTAAAATAATAGCAACAATAATATAAGTACCCTAAAATCAGAAATACTTATTTAAGCCACTTCAGGGCCACAACCTTCAGATCAGTGGTGGGCTGCTGCCGGTTCGGACTGGTTCAGGCAAACTGGTAGTTGCAACCTGCGGGCCCATCCATCCACCCGGGGCACAATCCCGTCCTATATCGCTGTGTTTTTGACACCACACGCATGCGCAGATGGCACACATGAGCAAATTATGGTGTTTTGTGATGCCGCACGTGCATGCTCACATTTCCCTTGCTGGGCAAACCGGTTGTTACAGTATGTGACACCCAACTCTGCTTCAGATGTATGCTTTATGACAAGTCCTTAAAGAATGCTTGTGGACTATGCACTGAGTTAGAAGAGCCATTAACTTGACTAAAAGGATAAGTAAGTCTTCATGTATCTCTAGTGAAAAATCTGTTATGATTTATTAGCAAACAATGATTAAGAACATTGTAAAATTCAATGTATATACAAGAAAAAATTGCCTCATAATTTTATCACAGAGAGGCTAAAGGGAGAGATTTTTGATAAACTTTACGAATAGGAAAGAGAGGCAACAAAATATTCAATCAAACTAATGGCAGCCTACTATTGATATTTTTGGAGGGAATAGTCTTTGGAAAAAAGAAGTCCTTTTATAACAAATACCCTTTCTTGATAAACAACAAGAAGTCTTTAAAGAAGGCACTCTGAAATAAGAAAAAACATAGAAGAACAAATGTAAAAGATTAATAAGGCAGAAGAAAAAAAATTGAGGGCTAAATAATATGAAATTATCCAAACATGTAATCAGTGCTTGAGTAAGATTACTACTAGGAAATTTGTTAAATCCTTACCCAAAGAAAACTTAAGAAAGGAGAACTTCAATTTCAAAATGACAGTTAGAGAAAATTAGATAAAAATATGCACTATAACCCAATGTTTGTTAACAAGGCAAAGTTCCACCTAGGTCAAAATTCTGAAAGAAAATTCTGAGAGGTAATTAACTAATTACAAGTTCATGAATCAATTGTCAGACAGTATATTCCAATTCAAAAATAACATTGAGTTTGTATTTTGACAAGAATAACTTAAAATATCCTATCCTGAATGCCTTTTTTAAAGTAGTGCTCCAAGAAACTAATAGGAACTTGCAGATTTTCAGAATAATTTTATTCCAAGAAACCAGGTACAATGTCATCACAGCTTGAATTATTAACAAAAGGAAAATAATTGTATGGAGAATCAACCAGCATTAACTCTAAAGAGGGATGTTTTACTTCATCCAATTAAGAATATAAACAATTAGGAAGATTGGGGTAATCCAAAATAATCACAGTTTTTACCTCAGGGGGATTTCTGGACAATGCATAAATGTCTAAATTGTCAAAACTTTCCTAAATTTAAGTAGGCCAATTCCTTCATCAAGAAAGATTGCTAAGTAGAAAAAAATGTGTAATTCCTAAAAGAGAAAAATAATATATGATATTCTGTGAAAAAATGAGATTTGTAATCATAATTGAGAAACAAGAGCACGTTAATTAGGAAAATAAAATCCAAAGTAGCCAATCAAAACCAACATTTTAAAAAAATCTAGATGGTAATATTTTTTAAAGTTCAATGACTACAGGAAAGACATATATTAGCAATAAAGAAATGTTATGCAAAACATTCTGGCATGGACCACAGATCTGATAGTTTAATATGGAGAAAAAAGTTAATTTATGGCCATATATGCTCTATAAAGTTTTAAAGGTCAAAATCAACACTTTAAATTACACTCCAAAATAAATGGCCATTTTAAGATCTGTAAGAGAAATTAGTTCTTGTTATTAACCTAAGTGTCTTACTGGGTAAAGAGGTTTCCAAGATGTCTTCAAATATAGCCTCACGTATAGTAATATACTGCACCAATCTGCAGCAGGATTACCTCTAGCTAGAAAGAATATGCAGATACTATACCACCCACAGTTGGTGAAAAGCAATTCATGCCAAACATGCCACTTGGGACTTTAACGAGAGAACTGCACATCATAGCAGTTTCAAAATGTATAACCATAACTAACCCTAGTTTTATCCAATGAATCAAAGTGCAAAGTCCAAAAATGTCAAGAGAAAATTCTAATTGGCTTATAAAAATTCACCACTGTTCACAAAGCAATTGGCAACCATTTTCAATCATAACATAATTTCAGTCAGCCACCCACAGTTGCCTCTACCGTTCTTTATAAACAGAAGCTCTCTGCTCCTGAGCAAAATTTCCCTAAATATTATACATCTGAATATTTATTTTCTATGTCTGCCTAACTCAACTGGATTGACTCATACAATAGTTATACCATTACTATTGTGTTATGCTTATGGGTACCCAGAAGCAGCTGACTAAGCACTTGTTGCAAACAAAATATTGATTTAGACTGACCTGACCCAGCAATGGCTATTTTTTCATTGCATGTCAACCTACATTATATGTCAAGCTACAAAATAAGCTACATTGATAGATGTTTCTCTTTGTTAACCTTCTTAGCATTTTATTTTTTCCAAGATTTAGACTATGATTTCCTCTCATTCCTTGCAACTCCCTTCTTGCCTGCATCAGATTGTAAAGCATACTCAATTTTCCCTATCTATATGTGATACAGTACAGTTATATCAAGTCAAGAACTTACGTGAAACGGACAAGATTTTAATCTTCATTGGGCAATAAGGGCTACCATTTCTGAATAAAATTTATATTCCATCCAAAAGGCAGTTGAAGATAGTATTCACATGTTGAGTAAAAAGGCAAGATCTAAGCTGCCATTTTATGCACAAAATTCACAGCAAAACTTCCATCATTATAACAGGAGTATATGAAAAAAATTATCCAGATCCAAATACAATTCTAATGTGGCAATTCATTTTCTTCTTTGTTGTGAGTTTATGTCTTCACATACATGTGCAAAATTGTACCTTTTCAAAGCTAAAAAGTTTTTCAATGTATTTGGAAGTGGCAGACAATCAAAACTGTTGATGCAATAGTGAAAGAAAATCACATCCAAAAAGCCTGGATATACTTTTTTAAATATTTCTGTTGTAAATACTCCAGGTTGCTAATTTGGTTATCTTCTTCTTTGATGCTCACTTATTTTGGGCTACATGAACAGCCAAAAACAGCAAAAGGGAGGAATGAGCACATAATGTCTGAGCATAATACACCTGGCATCTAACACAGCCAAATCAGAAATTAATTTAACATTTCTGTCACTATACATCTGTATATAGGCTCTTTTGATTCAGAATGAACATTGGCTGTATAATACAACAGTTGGCAGTGCTAATCTCATTTCAGACTTCCAACATAGAAACTGCTATTCTGACACAGAAAAGATCAAGGCATACATGATCAGCATTTAAAAGGACTTTGATTCTCCAATGTAATCTCCTACTTAATACAACACCTACAATGCTAGATATGAATATATAAGTAATGGTGAAACCATTCTTGGAGTATTTATTAACTTTCTCTCAAAAAGGAGAAATGACTACATCAGTGAAAATAAATAAGCTATATGCTCAATAGGTAGCCTTATCCATTTTGTAATTTAATTAGAAAATTATAGGATTTCTCTACAAAAAGCAAAGAAAATTTGCACTATTTGATAAAGAGTTCTATAATCAAGCTTTGGCCCCAGGTTATAGGTAACCTACATTCATCAATCAAAATATATGCCATAATAGAGGCCTAATATTTGAAAGAAATACAGTAAGGACTAAATTGGGGTCGTAAGTCAAGGACTACCTGTACAGTTTCTAGAATAGAAGTGTTTTGTGGACAACCATAGGTGCATCCATTGCTACCTATACTAGTGCATATTCGAACCAGTTTAAGCTTCTGGATAGTCTTCATTTGAGGACACTTCATTTCAGTCCACTGTGGAATGATAAGAACACTGGTGCTTATGTGTAATGCCTTCTAATCCAGAGAAAACCACAATGGAGAGACAAAATATGTTTGTATAAAAGGTTTCCTGGCCATGGTTGCTGTTAAAGCTGAACCCAAGAATCCAAGAGAACCATCAGATTACAAAGCTGCTATTATGGGGAATCATGACCCCACATCCTATACATGAACTATCTCTGGATTCAGAAGGTCTTCATAATCCTCAGCCACTCATTATTGCTAGATTCAGTGTAAATCTGTTCCTCTCTATCCAGATGCCAATCACCTTTAGGTGCTGAGTCAAAAAGTTCACTGCCTCATTTGTCCAGCCTGATATAAGGAACAATTTGCCTGAATTAAAGAAATAGCAAAGAATAGAAAAATAGAAGCGATTCGTTTTCCTTTATTTATTCAATTTATATGGCTGCCCATTTCAAACAGCAAACAGTTATAAAATCAATTAAATTACACGTATAATACAAAAGAAAATTAAATACATACAGCAGCCACGAAAATTATTATCTGAAAATGATAATATAACCAGGAAATGGGAACCATAACACACTCTGGACCCTAGCCCAGCCACATAACTAGATCACATAAGTCCATGGACTTATCAAAAGTCAACAAGATCAAGGCCATGCAATTTCTAAAATGACAAAATTCCAGAGCATAGGTATTATAGCAAAAAAGCCGCCTAGTCACTGCCAGCAAATATTCCTTGACTAACTGGACTTAGAGCACGCCCATTCTGCTGGACTAGATTGGGCAGGTAAAAACAACTGGGGGAAGATGGTCCTTCATATAGCCTTGTCTCAAGCCATGAAAGGCTTTAAAGGAGACAACCAGCATCTTGAATTGCACCTGGAAACACACTGGCAACCAATGCAGCTCAAGAAGCAGAGGTGTTACATATGCCAACTACCTGACACCATTTACTACCCATGCAACTGCATTCTGTGCAGTTGAATCTTCTGACTGCTCTTCAAGGGCAGCCCAATGTAGAGCACATTGCAGTAATTATGACAGGAAGTCACAAAGGATTGAGTGATAATGACCAGAGCCTCCTGGTCCAGAATGGGCACAACTGGCACAAAACCTGAAAGTGTGCAAAAGCCCTCTTAACCACAGATATAAAGTGTAAGAGGATCCCCGGACTGTGTACCTGGTCTGTGTGGGGCAATGCCACCTCATCCAGGACCAAATGTAAAAAAACCTTGACAATGGAAGGCCCAACTACACAAAGCCACCCTCCTCCCATCGTAGAGTGGAGACTGGAGAGGGATTTCAAGAAAACAAGTGCAGAAATGCTCTTTTACACATTGAAAGCAATGTGATCACACTGGCAGCAGGAAAAAAGTCAGGCAAATTAGTTCATCTACAGAAATCACTTGCTTCCTCCCCCTCTCCAGAGAGATTGGAGAGGAAGAAATTTCAAGAGACTACTGCAAGCTGTTTGTGTAAAATGCCCCCCTCATTTTATTCTTCTAGTTGCAATCTCATGCACAATTCTCTCTAGAGTCTTATTTGATGAACAACATAAATCTTTCACAAGTCAGCTTTTCCCTGGTATTTTATGTTTACTAGAATTTCCAAGGAATAAAGTGCAATGATGTCTGGTTGTCATGGCAACACCATACTCACACAAAAAGTTTCCCCTACATTAGACAGAACTGAATTTAGTAAGGGGAATGAGATAGCAATAGAACTTAGCATGTTCATTTCCCAATTCTGCTCCATAATTCTTCAGCTCATTATTCATTTCTGAAATCAAATTATCAAAAATATTTATATTATTGTTTAAGCCATTACCAGTTTATGATTACCAATATCTAGATTTCAGTAGGCCAAGAATATCAGTGATATTACAATAAATGCATAGAAAAAAAATCTTTAAAAAGTGATTCTACGAAATATTTTGTAGCTTTCCCATAACATGACCTGGCTGGGTTTAAGTTACAGAAATTTTGTTTATAGCAAGAGAAAGAATTTCATTGCCTCTCTTCATCAACTCATTCATTAATCCACAGAACACAAATGTATGTAGCTTAAAGCATACTGTAGTAGAAATATAAGCTGTAGTATGTAGCTTAAAGCATACTGTAGTAGAAACATATGCTATAGTCTATCAAAGTTGTGCAGTCTTTCATCCAGAGTGTATGCTTTCTGTACAAACATACAAAGACTTCAAGTTTTCACAGAAACATGTAATTCAAACAGATCTCAAGTATGTGGACTTCTGTCATCCCTCCAATCAAGACAATAACTATTAAATTAACATTATACATCAACATCGATAAAAAATAAAATGAGCACTGGGAAGAGTGCCTGATGACTATTTAATTGCACCTCCAGCTGTAGGATTTCTACTATATAAAAAAGAGTATTATTTATCCCACTACAGACAGGGATGCATATCCAATTGTGGAACATTAGCACCAACATTTCCCTCCCTCCCCAGCTGTTGTTTCAGTACTTTCGGACTGAGTCCATAAGCCTTTAGTTATTTATCCTTGGTCCTTCACAACTACACGCTCAGCAACTGTATATGTTGACAAGCTGCAGCCAATCCTGGATTTGGAGGACAATCTCATCAATACACCCCACGTGTAAAGATTGCCACCCATTCAGCTTTAACACGCAAAAGGAACATTAGGTTTCCACACAAAGCATTTCCTGTGGGGGGGGGGAAAAATCCATAGCGTAAGAGGAGGGCAAAAAAAAAAAAAAAAAAAGCCATGCATCCGCTTCAAACGACAGGAGAGAGAGGTCACACCACTGGGACCTTCTCCTATTTGTGTTTTTAAGAAGCGGAGGTCGGTGTTGGGACTTTTTCTCCCCAAGTTTATTAGCTTAGCGTTTGACCTGAACAAGGAGGCAACGGCCCTTTTTCCGACGGCATCGCCCTCCGCCTCAAAAAAAAAAAAAAAAAATACAGGAAAAAGCAGCAGCGGGAGAGCGGTGGTCTCAAGGCGGCTCCCCAGCCCAACCTGACCGGGAACACTCCTCAAGTGGCAAAGGCGACAGCCCCCAACCTGAAGGCGAGGCTGAAGCCCGAAAAAAGCCCCTTCCCCTCCTTTCTCTCCCGGTGGGGATGGGTCAGGCCGGCTCCTTCACTCACCATGTATAACGTGAAAGGGAAGCCAAGCAGGAAGAGCCACAGGTAGAGGTGCAACGCGTTGACCCCGGCGCCCTGGTGCGGGTCTTGGTACCAGCCGCCGCTCAAAGCCGCCCACACACCCTGGCGCAGGATCTGCAGCACCTGAGAGCCCATGGCGGCCTGGCCCCAGCCCGGGTCCTGCCAGCCCCGAGCTCTCTTCCCTCTACCCGTCCTGCGAGCCCGGGCACAACTGCCCGCCGCCTCCACAGCCTGAGCCTCGCGACAGCCACAAGAGCCACCCCCCCGTCCTCCGTCTTCCCCTCCTCCTCCTCCTCCTCCCCCCCGCCAACGCCGCCGCCATCTTACGTCCGGGCCCCGGACCGCCCGCCAGCCCGCCCGCCTATGGACCGGCAACCCTTGCGGCAGCCGACGCGACCTCAGCGCCCAACCTGGATTCTCCGCCCGCTGCGCGAACGGAAGGTGCGGCGGCGGCGGCGGCATGTTCGCTTCGCTTCGCGAGGAAGCCCCGCCACAAGCGAAGCGAATCAGAGCCTCCAAGGGAAATAAACGTTTATTCTCGACCCTTGGCGAATGAAGCAGAGATGGGAGGGTCTTGTCATGGAGCTGCTTTCCAGCCACAAACGCTGGGTTTGGGCTTTTTTTAAGCCCGCGTTGATGTCCCCAAATTGCGAGATATTTACTTCGGTCGCTGGAGAGGCCCTCCGCCTGGCCAACTAGCTAGGTGTGGCAGAGAGTCAAGCCTTTGGCAAGGCTGTCGACAGCCAAAGCAACCGAACTCTAGTTGCTTTGGATGGCATCTGCTGCCTTCGTTACCTGAGCGCCGTCAGCCGTTAGCATTGCTGGAAATACGGGAAGTGGGGGGAAAGGCATTGAGAAGATTGCTAAAAATGCGAAAGGGAAACTACGAAAACCTAGAAACTTTAAAAAAAGGGATACAAGAGCAGCTCGCTTGTCAGGCCCCGGGAGCTGTGTACTTTCCTAGGGCGCCGTTCTCTACCAAGCGGCTTTGTAGCGCGAAGTACAAATGGCAATTCGTTCACAGACGCTTTTTGAGGTTTGTGCGATTTGGACCTCAGTCCTATGCACCCTTTTCCCCGGAGAATACAATATAGAGTCTGGATGTCCCAAAGGTGCTCTTTCAAGAGGCCTCTGAACTTTCTGGTTTTTCTTTTTCTCTTTGAAAAAACACCTTTGGGAATAACCGTGATCTGGATGACTGAGAATCTCCATGAACGGACATTAAGAGTCTGAATGCTTCTCTGTGCTGAGGAAATCGCTTATGCGCAAGGCAACGTATAGCGTTGGTGGGCAGTTAGCAGCTCGCTGCGACTATGAAATCGGGCGATGTGGGTCACTGATTAAACCACAAGTACTGCGGTACAATACGACGCCGAAGTGTCCTTGGGTTTTGGAGAAGAGCAAAGAGGAACTGAAATGAAAAGTGTGTGAGTTTGATTGTAGTGGGTGGGGCCATGAGTTATTAAGTCACGCCCAGTCGTCCCTTCTCGCGAGATTGCCAATTCTTGCGAGAACAGGAAAGCCGAAAGCGTCCCTTGGTGTCATAGTAACGAGACTCCCCCCCCCAGCCCACGCTTGCATCGTGGCGTGCTGACAAAGCTCTATTCGATTTTCAAAAAAAAAACAAAAAATATTTTGTGTTAGTGCTGCTTTATTTTATTTTTTTTATTACGGTTGTAAAATCTGCTGTGGGGCATAGTCTGGTATTACTGAGATTCACATAACAGATCTTGTATCGATTTGCCTGTAATTAACCATGGTTTATTCCAGCCAGCTTTCTGATTTGCATGATGTATGGCATGCTAGGCAAAATTATGGCTGACTAATTCGTTGTTCAGGGTGTTATGTAACCCCAGCCAAAAACAAATGGCAGTTTGCTTGCGAACAGAATGGGGCGATGTTAATTAAAACACATTTTACCAGGTGATCATTTGATTGACAGGAAGGCTCAGTAGTTTCATTGACTTTAGAACTGAGAGAGCAGGAACTCATTGTAAAGTTACTTTCACCAGTAAAATCAAACGGGAGGACTGAAGTTAAGAGGAATCCATAAGGGCAAGTGGAGTTACATCTAACCAGTGGTGGGATTCAATTTTTTTAACAACCTGTTTTGTGGGCGTGGCTTAGTTGGGGGTGTGGCTTGGTGGTCATGTGATTGGGAGGACGTGGCTTGGTGGTCATGTGACCGGGTCGGCATGGCTATGTGCATAGGGATTACTCAGAGGGCTGAAAAAAGTCATTTTTGACTGGTCTTTGCACTTATGACCATCCTCACATTTATGCCCGTTGCGGCATTCTTAACAACCGTGTCAGTCATTTCACCACTACTTCTCTTCACCACGGTGACAAGATAGGGCGCAAAACGTAAAATGTGAGGACAGTCTTAAGTTCAAGGACTGGTCAAAAGTGTGAGGACCGGTCAAAAATAACTTTTTCAGCCTTCTGACTAGTCCATATGCACATAGGGACTATTCAGAGGGCTGAAAAAAGTCATTTCTGACTGGTCCTCACATTTTTGACCGGTCCACGCACTTAGGACCTTCCTCACATTTATGCCCGTTGCGGCATTCTTAACAACTGTGTCAGTCATTTCACCACTACTTCTCTTCACCACAGTGACAAGATAGGGCGCAAAACGTAAAATGTGAGGACAGTCGTAAGTTCAAGGACTAGTCAAAAGTGCAAGGACCGGTCAAAAATAACCTTTTCAGTCCTCTGAGTAGTCCATATGCACAAAAGGACTACCCAGAGGGCTGAAAAAAGTCATTTCTGACAGGTCTTCGCACTTTTGACCGGTCCTCACCCTTATGACTGGTCATCATTTATGCCCATTGTAGCATTCTTAACAACCGTGTCACTCATTTCACAACTGCTTCTCTTCACCATGGTGACAAGATAGGGCGAAAAACGTAAAATGTGAAGACAGTCGTAAGTTCGAGGAGTGGTCAAAAGTACGAGGACCAGTCAAAAATAACTTTTTCAGCCCTCTGAGTAATCCGTATGCACAAAAGGATACAGCAATAGAGAGGGATGAAGGAAGGAGAAGAGAGATGGAAGAAAGAAGGAGAGAGAGGAAAGGAAGAGAAGGGAGGAAGGAAGGGAAGGGAAATTAGAGTAGGAGTGAGGGGAAGAGAGGGAGGAAGAGAGGAGGAGAAGGAGAAAGGAAGAGGAAGTAGGGGGAGAAGAAAGGGGGGGAAGAAAGTAAGAAGGAAAGAAAAGAGAGAGGTGGTAGGTTTGAGGAGAAAGATTGCTGTACAGTAAAAAAGATGAAATGGAAGAAAGGCAACCCCAAACAAATATAAAGATATTAAGATAAAGAATGAATTGTTAAACTTTAAAAAATAAAAGAGAACAAATATGAATAAATAGCAATAATTAGAAACACACATACAAAGATACAATTTATTTTCTTTGAACAGAATATTTGGCCGGTTCACAAATTTAAACAGTGTTTAGTCATTTCAATTAAATTTACAATTTTGATATTTCCTTTTTGCCATATTTATTCCTTATCTATTCATCCTCATCTCTAATCTTAATCAAATTCAATTTTTCCCTTCTATTCTATATTATACCCCTTCCCATTGTCATCTGTTTTTATATCCATCCTCACATTGGTTAATTATGTAATACTACAGTTGTTTAATACAAATTCAACATTTTAATATAAATCAATTAGTTATATAACTATCTTTTTTGTATATCAATCAATATGAACATGAATATTCCAATTATTTCCATGCAATCCAATTTCTTACAAATCAATTAATTATATTTACCAATAATAATAAACCAAATAATTTCCCCCATATATTTCTCCAAACCACAACTTAACCATTTCTGCTTTCAACACAATATACAATTAATAGTATCTCAATTATTACAATTCTCTAGTTAAATAGAGCTTTTTTTCTTTTGTGTTTTAAAATCTTAAACTCTCCTCTTTTTCCTTAAATTTCCCATTGTTTGCACCTACCTTTTTTGGTGAGGAAAAAGAAAAGAAATCTGCCTGCCTAATTTTCCAACGTTGTAGCAAACAGCAAAGCCAACAGCCTGCTTTACTTTCAGTTTCGTTTTTCAGCATAGATAAGGGGGAAAAAAATCTGCTCCAGCAAGCAGCAGCCCTGAGCAAAACAGTTGAGAGCAAATCAGCTGAGAGTCGGGAGGCCGATCTAATCAACGGGCTAATTAGCCTATGCTGAAGCTCCGCGGGCAATAAAATTACAAAAAAACACCAAACCATTTGTTAAATTGCTGGCTCGCCTGCCCCTCGCCCACCACTATTTATTGGCAATTTGTTTGCACCTACCTTTTTTGGTCAGGAAAAAGAAAAGAAATCTGCCTGCCTAATTTTCCAATGTTGTAGCAAACAGCAAAGCCAACAGCCTGCTTTACTTTCAGTTTCGTTTTTCAGCATAGATAAGGGGGAAAAAAATCTGCTCCAGCAAGCAGCAGAGCCCTGAGCAAAACAGTTGAGAGCAAATCAGCTGAGAGTCGGGAGGGCCGATCTAATCAAGGCTAATTAGCCTATGCTGAAGCTCGCGGGCCAATAAAATTACAAAAAAACACCAAACCATTTGTTAAATTGCTGGCTCGCCTGCCCTCGCCCACCACTATTTATTGGCAATTTGTTTGCACCTACCTTTTTTGGTCAGGAAAAAGAAAAGAAATCTGCCTGCCTAATTTTCCAATGTTGTAGCAAACAGCAAAGCCAACAGCCTGCTTTACTTTCAGTTTCGTTTTTCAGCATAGATAAGGGGAAAAAAAATCTGCTCAAGCAAGCAGCAGAGCCCTGAGCAAAACAGTTGAGAGCAAATCAGCTGAGAGTCGGGAGGCCGATCTAATCAACGGGCTAATTAGCCTATGCTGAAGCTCCGCGGGCCAATAAAATTACAAAAAAAACCCAACATGTGTTAAAATTGCTGGCTCGCCTGCCCCTCGCCCACCACTATTTATTGGCAATAAATAGTGGTGCGGAGGGGTGGGGCAAGGGGCAGGGCGAGCCAGCAATTTAACAAACAGTTCGGCCGAACCGCCTAGAACTGGCAGAATCCCACCACTGCATCTAACCAAATAAGGGCAAGAACTGGCATTGAGACACAAAAAAACACAGTGTGTGCTGCTCTCAGCAACCGAATAGACTGCAAACAGTTGGTTACAACAAGATGGTAGAAAAGGGGGAAAAAACCCTTGGTATTTAAACCTCAGCATATACAGATCTTTCAATTCTTTGGGAACTGTTTTTACATAATTAGGTCTGCCTAGCTGCAGTATG